GACAGGTCCGCAAGAGTTTGTGCTCCACCTAGGTGTGTTAGATTTGTTGTACAGGACCAGGTTGCAGTCAGCCTGCATGATCAGACGGGCAGCATCTGATCCACAGGTGTTCGAAGCCCACAAAGGCTTCCAGCCATAGATGACAAAGTTACCATCACCCTGCAGCCATAAATTATATGTTAGATAATTGTCAACACGCATGACTGGGAAACAAGACTTTTATGAGCTTCTGAACTAAGAACATTTAAATTAGTCACCTGAAATATAGCTTTGAACTGCTTGTTGTTGGACACCAGGTAGTCTCCCCTGCGGAGCTCATCATTTTTGGACAAGAAGTTTCTGCTCATGATTCTAAAAGGAGAGAATATAAATGAGCTTGTATCCACAATATGCATTTAAAAGTATCAAGAATGTGTGAATCCATCAGTCAGTAGAGATGCGTAGAATACTTACAGTTTTGAATGTTTCACACCAGCCGGTCTGCAAGCAGAAAGAAGGGAAGTGTTAAAATTGAAAGCAAATCACTCCATCTTTATATCATCTTGACTGGGGGTGGAGCAACACTCACTGCCCTTTACAGTAAAGGGATGGCATTTCCTAAGAAGTGCTTTTTGTTTTTTGTTTTTTTAATATCTGATGGTGTCTGGCATCTTTTCCAATCAGAATTGTGATCTGAATGCGCTGTGGTGCCAAACACATTTTGCATTTGCAAGAACAGAATCAGAATCAGAATATTTTAATAATCCCTGAAGGAAATTATGCAGCCTACAACCTCTGTAGGCTGCTGTTCATGTGAATCTTTTATCTGTTTATTTATTCATTTTTATTTGTGTTATTTGCGATATTAAATTGGATGAGATGTAGTACGATGATGAAGGCAAGACAGTCAAGGAAAAATAAAGAGGCGGTGTGGCAGGATGTGGGATTTTGACTCGGCTGCAGGGTAGGAGTGGAGCAACGGGTTCAGGTGTGGTGTCAGGGGAGGCTGATCTTCGCAGCCGGTGAGCATCCTCTAATCATGCCTTTCCTGTCTTAGTATCAGCTGGGGCCGTGGGGTAGCAAACCCAGTAGGAAGGTCCTGGGAGCCTTAGGGATGGCATAGGTCATGATGTCATCTGTTAACTTGGATATACTGTCCCAAAATAAGGTCAACTGTGTACACATCCAACAGATATGAGAGTGATTCATGTGACCACACTGTTTCCAACATTGTTGCTGGTGCCCCTGAAATTTCTTAGTAACTCCTTCAGAGTTGACATGAGCTCGGGAGTGACACATCAGGATTCTGGAGGTATGTAATGATATCGTCTGCGAAAAGAGCAATTACATGTTCAACTCTGGCTTTTCTCTTATTTCCTGGGTTAAAGGCTCTATAAACAAAGTGAAGAGCGAGGAGCTGAGCCCACAGCCCTGCCAGGTGCCTCTATTCAATTGAAAACTAGTGTATAGATGTCCATTAATCTTTAACCTGGCCACTGGATTTCTGTATAATGATTGTAAACATTTAGTGAATTTGTTGTTGAATCCTAGACGCTCCAATACCTTATACAGAAAGAGCCAGCTGACCCAGTCAAAGGCCTTTTCTGCGTCTAGACTTACTAACGCCATTCTCAGTTTCTGATTCTTCGCTTCTTCTATACAATAGAGCGTTCGTCTAATACTGTCATGTATTTGATGACCTATTATGAAGCCTGTCTGATCTTCGTGTATTAAATCCAGCAAATGGACTTCTAGTCTTTTAGAGATTATTGAGGTAAATAATTTAGAATCTGCATTCAAAATAGAAATGGGGCACTAAGATTCGCAGTATTCTTTATTTTTACCCTCTTTACGTAGGACAGATATTACCAATTCGTGCCAGGATGGAGGTATTTCTGCATTATTGAGGGTCCAATTAAAGGATTTGAGTAAAGTGGGAGAAGGTTCCTCTTTAAATATTTTGTACCAATTGTCTGGAAATCCATCACTACCAGCAGGGCACATATTCACTTTTAAGTTACTGATTGCAGTATCTAATTCTTCTTTAGTTATGTATGCACTTTAGGCTTCATTCTGTAATAATCCAAGAGAAGGAACGTCTAAAGAGGTTAAATATTGAATAATGAAATTTTCTGCTATTGGTGCCGGACACGAGTACAACGATTTGTATAATAATAGATACAGAGAAAAACCCAACAATCATATGACCCCCTATGAGCAAGCACTTTGGC